CGTTTATCTGCATGCTGTCGGTATACGCTGCTCTATTCGGAAGAGTCCAGGCCAACCAAAATATCACTATTGTCGGCAGTCAGTATATTCGAACCATGCAGGTGTAATTTTATCCTCACAGCTCAATCAGTATGAAATAAGTTATTCTACCGATAAAAGCGGGTGTTTGCTACGGGAGATGGTTAAAGAAAAAGCAACCTGACATACGGGAGATGTTCTGTTTACCGTATTTGGTGATGCAGTCACCTCACTATAAGTACGTTCCATGTAAAAACCATCCTCTCTTATAAGATTTATTTTCACTGAAACGGATGAAACACCACCGAACCGAAGAACACTCTCGCTGGTACAAGTCATTATTAACGCTGTTCAACAGTCCCTTCAGTCTGCTTTACGTCACTTAGGTACTAACATGTGTATACTGCTGTCAATGATACTGATGATTCACCCTGTTTGGTAACTATATCGTGCGCATCAACCACCAATCTGTTAATTTCGTCATCTCCAGATCACACAATCTGACCGCATGCTCAGATGGAAAGGTTTGTTCATCCTCCCTTCTCTATCCAACATCCGTCAATTGCATATGAGGATGCCATTCGACGAGGAGCCCTTGTACAGCTTCCACTCTCTCCTTAGTGTACGGGTGAGGTTCACGGTTTGCAAACTAGACACTTCATATACTTTAGATATATGCATACATGTTCACGATGGATGTGAGGCTTTGTGCTCCTGCTTTAAAAATTCTACGGTAAGTAGGCCTGTTTGAAATATCACACAGAAGTCAGCGACGTGCCTTCTATAACATTACACACAATGAAAGGAAGAGACTTTCATTTTTGCTAGACTTTTGCTATTTTGCCAGACACAGTACAGGGGACTTCGGCTTTAAATTAAATCTGAAGTTCCCAGTGGGGATTTCGTTCTGTAAATCAAGTTGATCTATTCTGGAAAACAGAGGCACTGTACTGCTGTTTCATCCTTATTGGGAACAATATCTCGTGGAAGTCTACGGTGTTTCGAACCGTTTCGGACGTGATCCTGTGTGTGACATTCGGCACACAATGCATTCGTATACTTTTCTACGTGGTTCTTTTCGCAGACAATTTGTTGAACTTTGGAAGCGCTCTTTCACAGTGATCCATTACCACTAACTAACATCCGGATAATTGAGGTTTCAAGCGGAAAGTCTTCGTTGTTAAGGCTTTGTCCACTTTAGAATCAAAGCTGCACCGTTGCCGCACGGTGTATGCATAGGAACATTTCATATTCTAGACGACCAGGCCTTTCCTCACTTAAATACAATCATTTTGAGAACCAAGTCTTTTCGTTCCCTCTCCGGGACGCTTTCGTGAGGGAGGTGGCATTGGACTTACTATCAAGGTGCATGGAGTATCTCCCGACTTGCCACCCAGATTAGTCGCTTTTGGTATTTTGTCACATCTGGTCAAGTCAGACAAAGTTGATTTACAAATGTGAAAAACTAGTCATTAGTGTCACTAGACCCGTTTTCCTTCATCTAGAAGTCATGTTGGCAAGCGACATCAGGAGCTTAACCAATAGACGTTCACACGATGGGCAGAAGACCTGTGGTTCCAGTCCCTTCCGGATGTTCCATTGCTTGTGATATATGTGATTGGACTCCTTATTTCAGAACTAAACTTGCTGTTCCATGCGACCCTAAAAGTTACGTATTTCTCAGAATGTGCCGCAGTGGTCTCTCCCTAACAACCGATATCCTTTGGGGTAGCATGTTCACGTGTTTGCTTGAGGAGTGGGATGTGCTTTGGCGGGGCTTCGAAGAGTTGCGTTTATGAAAGAGGCTTCTAGTTTACCAAACAACCTAGTGTTACTTCTCACTGCTAATACTTGGCAACTGATCAACCTATGATGTGTTTGTTATAGAAATCTGCCCTGAGTGCATCCCCACGTCACGGTTGTCCGCCTTCAAAGTGACTTCTTGAGGGACCATTTGAAAGTAGGTTGTCTCTTTAGTGAGGGGTCCAATGAAAAATACTATATGAAAACTGGTACGGACACTCGTGATCAACCTCAAAGGTGATAAAAAATAGTGAGCCATTCCGGACTATGTCAGGCAAATTACTTTACCGAATGTAGCTGATGACCGGCCTTATCACCATCTCAACCGCACACTTGACATGCATCCTGACGAGCTAACCCGTCCAACAAGAGTGATCATACTTACACAATGTATACCAGTCCCGGAACACAATGGAAGAATGGCAGTGCGCTCAACCTCACACTAGCTGTCGTTTCACCTACAATTGCCGTGGATTTAATTTGGGACAAGCGGATAGAACCCTTGGTGTCTGGGCTACAGTGTCACACCACTGGTCAGATGGCTTGTTCAGCCACGTCATCACGTATTTTTATACATGAACTCGAAACTGGCCATTCCGTCTTGTGTTCTGTTGCAGTATAATGGGTCGATATTCCTTAATCACGTTTAGGCGTCACTGAGTAACCGCTACAAGCTAACCTTTTGGCAGTCACTTTATGCTTAACCCAGTACATATGAGTGCGTTCACTTCGCTTACCCTTGCCCTTCACTTATACCTAATGTGTGTGGACTAGGTTACATGTGTGGTGATTGACGAGATTGTGCAGTTATTCCATCTTGTACGTCATATTCTTCCTGCGTTAGTCATCAGCTAAATGGAACACAGCGCTTCAAGTGATAAAACGAATATTGAGTTTTATTATTTGAGAGGCTTCCAACAGACCAGAAGTAGAGAACATGAGCCTAGTAACACACAGCACAACTATAATGGATGGAAGAGACGGCCATCAGTGTACTAAAAGTGATCCGTGGTTCGAGCATAGTACTGGTTTTCCGGTGGGATGGGGGAACTGCGTCAACTGACTTCGATCTCATGTGTGCTGTTGCCTACGAACGAGAAATGGTTCGACTTCTTGAGTATCGGCCTGCATGAACCTTTGATGTATCCATTCTTTTGAATGGTACACACAAAATGGTGACCCAGGGGGGTTTCGATTGATTCTGCTGTTCGCACTAATTAGTATGCAACTAACTGATTCATTTGGCACCGGCGACCATCGGTTTCGTCTAAATGCCGGAGGCCTACACACGCACGCAATGAACCTTTAGTGATAACGGAACTGCTCCTTGTACAAATGTAACAATCTAATATTGTGGTTGTGCCACCCTATCGGTGCGTAGCTACTATGCAACCCGAAAGAGACCAAGGTCCAAGATGCAACCAAGTCGTCCAACTCAACAAAGGAACAGTCGGGAATACAGCTTTCGGTTTGAATCACGGATGTCCCAGTCAGCTGTAATCTATCACCACTACCTTGTCTTGAGTACCGGGCGTATACGAGCTGTACACTTATTCCAGCTGCCTCAGTTTTATTCACTGATGAATAATGGACTGGGATGCCTGAAATGCGTAAGACACTAAAGCGTACATCCAGTCGTGCCCAATTTGAAGTATTTCCCGCTAGTTCAGGGGTTGCTGTAAATACCGAGTTATAACTTAAGCGCAGCAACTCCAATACACACGGTTGGGTGCGTAACCGGATGCGAGTAGTGATTGATGTGGCCTGTCTTGGGATGCACATCTAGGCCGTCGACAGTTCCCAGTGCAGTTAGGTTTGTAGGTACCGGCTCCTAATTTTCGGCATCAAATCACGAGTTGACCCCACTTGAAACATCTTCACCCTGTACATGGTTGGTGTGGGCATTCGGAGCATGGGACCAAGCCAGTGTAATTTATGAAATCTCATATATCGCTCATCGCAGGCTGAAATACAGTCATGCTGCCAAAGCCTAGACAAGGGAAGTCGATAATAAAGAGTTTGGGTTCGAACCACGGACTCTAGTCAGTAAATTCGCGTCATAACCACTGAGCCATCTCGCCATCTGCTGTATGTGATAAGGCCGTTGAATAATTTCACGAGACAAGCGTATGTTTTTGGTCAGCCTTGATCGATTCGTTTGTTTCAACGGACACTTATAGGTGAATGACTAGCCCGGTCGGAAGTTGCAAATTCTCAGATAAATGGCTAGTCGTTGCGGTCGGAATATGGGCGTGAGTCTGGTCTTACCGCTCACACGGTGCATTGTGACCGCGAATGTGAACGACTTGTTTCTTGAAGCTATTTGTTTGCAAGTAGGAGAGGAAGCAATTTAAGAGTGGAACTTGAGTCATTATTCTGGATCGATACGATCTCTGTGCGTTACCAGAATGCTTGTTCTAACTCTTATTCGCTAAGCACCTTGGTTTAGTCTTTTTTCGTGGTCTGTCTTAGAACTAGGGAGAGGCAGTCGGGTAGTGTGACAAACGTATGGATGTTGTCAGCAGCAGAAAGCATTACGCAAGTGATAACCGCTCACCTGCGAAAGTGAAAGAAACTGTTCCTTATCTGGCTGTTACTTCTAACGAGAATTCGTATGATAGAAAATCATTTTTCGTTCAATTCCGGAATGAATACTGCTCATCAAGACGTATCCTGTACTGACTCCCTATGGTTCACATGCATTCACCATGGAATCGTTTCACTTGATTGGGAGAGTTGTGCAATTATGGTTTGAAAGTACCTTGAAGGACACTCATACTAGGTCGTGGCGGTTGGTCCATATATGACAAATCTTGTTATATTCCTGGGGTTGTATTCTTATCGGCTAACCTGTGACAGTCTGGTTCATTTAAATAATTCCTTCTTTTGAGAGTTAAATGCTCTATTGCTCTCGGTTAACCATTATAATTTTATTGCATTGTTGATCTCATTATTTTGCAGATTCACGAACATTTTGGAATCAACAATGAACGAACTACCAATCTGTACAAAAATAGATGAATATTTGTTGATTTGCGTTTGTAGCGGCAGCCAGCTGTTGGTCCTGGTGATGGGAAACGGTCAGTTCTGGCGGAACGTGTGTAGGTTCCCTTGTTTGCATTTATCTGTTTTCGACAGTCACTGACCACGATCTCCAGTCCTCGAAAACGCACTCGACTATGACAGTGGAGCAGTATAAATACAAATTGCTTTCTGCTCTCAAACTTCACCCAACAGATCCTCAGTTCACCGTTGAGAGGCTAGATTCCAGTCTTCAGATACTGTGGTCTAAGGAAGTAAAGAAAGGAATCCAGGTGCTCCGTTTCCACGGTTGTGGTGACCTATACGCTAGGTTAACTTCGGGACCCTTTCACTGCCAGTAAGTGAGTCGCCCATGCAGAATATACAGGAAGTAGTTGAAGCGTTGGCCAATCAGGTTCGCCAGTTGAATGAACAAAATTCAAGGGTGATGGAGGAGCACGAAAAGTTGCGGAAAACAGCGGATGCGGCAGTTCAAGTGAACCATTTGAGTAATTTGGGCTTTATTCCAGTACTATAGAAGTATGACCAACTGGTTGCGGATACCGAAACACGAGAAGTCACATTGTTGAAACATTTCGTGGAAGTTCTGAATGAGAAGAAACGCAAGATAGCGGAGCTTCAGGGAAGGTTTGGCGGACTCTTTTAACTGATGATGTTTCTTCCTATTCAGCCAAACCTCACCTACACCCCGTGGGGCGTGTCTGACGAAGATACCAGCAANGCTGGCAAAATCCTTTGCCTCGGAGGACTCGTTGGATGATGGAGAAGAACTGCTACCGAAAATTCCGCGTACATCCAAAAGTGTTTTAAGCCGAGCCTTTCCAGCACGCAGAGGAAGGAAATCCAAGACTGTGTAAGTTCCAGGTTACACTATTCGCATAAAATTATAGTTCTTTTGCTCAAATTATTTTCACGTTTCTTTTCATTCATTTTACTGGTCTAGTGTTTATTTAGTGTCTGGTTTCATTTTGGATTCAGGAAGCCAAAACTTTCACTGGAGTATATCTTGTAAAGGAAAAATAAGTAGTGGAAGATCTAATGTATACACATACAACCTAGTAAACCGAAATTGTCCGGTTTACCAACAATTTGAAGTGAGTTGAGATCTAAACGGGCTAGCTAACACTGCTGCATACAAATAGAGTCATATTACCATTTCTCCGAGCTTTGAGGATTCTTCACTGCTATTTTGTAACTGTGTACAAGAATAGCCTCAGTTTATTTGAGTTGAACTTCATTCAGGCAAAGCATCGCCTGGATGGACTTTGATTCTTTTGGTTGCTCCTGATTTCTTGCTTTGTAAAGGTCTAATTGGGAAATTATTAGTCTCCGTGTAAGGTCGACCTTATGGTTTTGTCAGAAACCATCTGGAAAGAAGTCGGTATCTTTCGTTTCTAGACTGAAGCAGCCAAAAGCGGAAATTCCGTTGCTTTATGGCCAAAGAAGAGTTCATGAAGCTGACTGTCCGCTTTGTTTTGATAGAATTCTGTGAGTAAGCTTCGGCAGCCCACTGCCGGCCTCACCCTTGGGCTGGACAAGCAAACGTAGTCCTTAAGCCTCCATCTGTTTAAAGATCATACTTTACGTACTTCACGAACGGCTGGCCACAAAAATTCGAGCATGGCTTTAGGCAGACAGCGCTTGGTGTAAAGTGTTGGTTAATATTACCAGGATGCAATCTCACCGGATGAGCTCACTTGAGGATGAGTCAATTCAACGTTTTAGCTGTCCTTGAAACCAGCGGTGATTTCCCACGTATGGATGTGAAAACAGTAGCAAAAATGCTTCTTGACTCTCTAAGCTAGTCAGGTATTTACCTCAGACAGGCCACTTGTTTGACAATGACGGTGTGGGTTACGAAGTTAATTGGATGCTAATTGGTGCAAAATACCTCATCCCCGGGGGCCTTGTTAGACCTTCCTTTGCTTTAGAGCTCCATAAAGAATCTTCGTGGTCTAGTAAAGTCGAGGCAATGTCCCCTTTGACCAAGAATTACACCTGAAACTGAGCTCGTCGGTTGATGCGTGATTTTGTCAGCAGTTTGAAACTGCTAATCCATCCATCCCACTAAACACACATGACGAATCACAATCGGGACCGACGGAATCGTGTGGCCGAAGTTTTCGTTTTCCCACTACACCTTTTAGTGAGGTATTAAGTTTATATTCATTCATATTTACCAGAAAACAGGGAGTCAGTATCTAATGAGGTAGGTTTTTGAGATAAAGCACACGATGGACTGTGCTGTCTCAGGAACAGTGATGGTGTAGGCCAGTTGATTGCGCTCAGATGTTTGTTGAAGACATTTTTACCCCCATGACCAAGTAGTGTTGATAAATCTGTCATCAATTCAAAGGTTTGTGATCTTTCATTCAATTTCACATTACGCTTTCGCAATCTCCTCAATAATATTTTTCTGTTTACAGAAAATCCATCCCGAAGCTACCAGCAACATCATCCTGCTCAGCCACTAATGCGTCGCTGGATGAGCTCCTGGATTCCTTGTGATAAAGCTCACTTTTCCCAATCAAGACGGTTGTATATTTTGTCGTATCATAAATGTGCACACGGGTTTCTCAAGTAACCACTATTCATGTTTCTTGTTTCGTCGAACATCTCAGCTGTCTTGACGGTAAGGACTGGTCCAGAAACCAGTTTACTAGAAAGTATTATCAACTGGAATACGGAAATACTCTGCATAAGACCCTAATGACGCCAAATGTCCAGTAAACAAACTTAGATACCGAAAAGCTAGTTTAACTGCGATATCACCACAGGAGTCGCCAACGTCTCATTGGGCGGATTTCATCAAACGTCAAAAGGATCGGACCATTCTACGGGTCGAATGCCAAACGAGTACAATGCTGGCGAGGATTTACTTTATTCATGCGAAAAGTGAAGTAAGAAACCGTTTACTGAGATAGGACCAGAATGTTTGGCAGTGATCACAGGAGCTTCCCGTCCGTGGATGAGTCATACAGATTTATATTCGAATGGATCTAGCTCACGTTCATTCAATATAAAATCGGATCGTCCTATTAAACGAATTTTGCATGTCGTCAGTCTAAGCTAAGGGATCCCGTTGCGACCCAGTAAAATCTCACTCAATATTTGGCCACCCCTGTTTGACAACGAAATTTGGATAAACGCTGGGCTACTCAATAGCCTGTGAGTAGATAAACATATCGCAGCAATGACGTACGAGTAGTCCCTCTAGCAGCCCAGTAACAACCGGTGCTGTGAACATACATGCACGTGTATATGTGGTTAAGTATACGACACACTGGAACTTTCAGTCTGGGCTGCATCAGTGCAGTAAATGTGACAACGGATTACAGACCCTACATGCTCTTCCTCACTGGTACCAGTGGAAATCCCTCAGCCGTTCGGGAGCACTAATTTCCCATCTCCCTAAATGATCTGCCGGACGTTAGGAAGGCCCTAGCTCTTCTAATCCATGACGACATCAATTCAGTCTCATTAAACATTGAACCGGAAAGATTTCGGCTCCTGTTTTCTTAGCATTTTAACGTTCGGCGGGGAGTCATGAAACGATTGGTGACAAAGGGCATCAGGCAGTATCCAGGGTAGACTCGAATGATCTGTCAGTCTTCTTACGTGTCCCTCTCATTAAACCACATGAATACTACTGACATCTGTGGATTTTAAGGTGAGCTAAGGTGTGTATATTTCACGGCTTCCGTAATACACCAACCAAGTGGTTCATGCCGGATTGTGGATAGAATACTGCTGTGTCGGATGCGCCGTGCGTGCGACTACGAGGAGTATTCGTTGTTGAGCTGTTCACCAGGATTAGAATTTGACTCACTATTATACGACGGGATATCAGTGCACGGTTGGATGATGACATTTCCTCATGTGATGACGAACAGGTTGCGGCTCGGCCACCTGATCAACAATCAGTAAACTCGGCCGAGCCACCAATATTTCGCCATATCAGCCACAGAGACTGTTTGGTTGCCTTCGAATTGTGGACGGCGCAAGTCGCCTGGATGTTCATAATTTCTCGCCGTTGAACTACAACTGTATGTGGGGAAGCAGTTTCCAACATACTGTCTTTCAGAAAGCAGTTTACGTGCCTTCCATTCCGGGGAAAGCAGGGAGGGACATAAAAGGATACTGGTTAGCTGAGCAGGTCTGCCGACAGGTCGACAGCTCATATTTCAACACAACGCTTTTTATCGTTGCAAGGTGCTACTAACGAATCGCTGTCATCGTTGGCTTTCAAAAATATTTAAACACTGAGCGAATATATCAGTGATGCGTGAAGCTGGCAATTCTATTGTTCAATTTTCTAACTTGGAAATGATGCCATACCCTAATCCCTGAGTTTGTTTTCGAAGGGAGATTGCCGAAACTGACATCCGCAAGTCGCCTGGATGTTCATAATTTCTCGCCGTTGAACTACAACTGTATGTGGGGAAGCAGTTTCCAACATACTGTCTTTCAGAAAGCAGTTTACGTGCCTTCCATTCCGGGGAAAGCAGGGAGGGACATAAAAGGATACTGGTTAGCTGAGCAGGTCTGCCGACAGGTCGACAGCTCATATTTCAACACAACGCTTTTTATCGTTGCAAGGTGCTACTAACGAATCGCTGTCATCGTTGGCTTTCAAAAATATTTAAACACTGAGCGAATATATCAGTGATGCGTGAAGCTGGCAATTCTATTGTTCAATTTTCTAACTTGGAAATGATGCCATAACCTAATCCCTGAGTTTGTTTTCGAAGGGGGATTGTCGAAACTGACATCTAGCACACATTGGTCCCTTCGACTTTGACTGCAGCAATATGGCGGCAGACCAATTCCACCCACTAGCTAATCCAGAAGATGTAGCGATTCTGTCTTTTGCTTGAAATCCGACTTGTCATGTTGAGTTTTTCAGCGCATTCTGTCAGCGAAGGAAGCTATCAATGTCGGGGATCGTTATCTCATTTTGAAGACTGTTGACGATCATGCGGGTCAAAGGGGCTCAGTAATCGCATAATGGGACTGAAATCCTGGAGGCCACGACGAATCCATGCTGGAATAGCACAGAGACAATTGAGTTCAAAATGCCAGTCCACACTTTTGAGCCTCGTCTTGACATACCTGGGTACCAGTGTTACTAGGGCACCCTTCCACAAGAATTTGTCCTGCAGGGGTCTCGTTTTTCCGGTGGGCAATGAAATTTAGGGAGTTGTGAGAATGTGGACATATATCTGCATGATTTTGGTTCCCTCACATGAGCATTAAAATGCAACATTTTGGCGCAAAACGTTGTACCCCTCTCTCAAACGCTTTGTGGCTAGTAGCATTGTGTGGCGAAGAGCACCCTGGTCAAACGGGCTTTGAACAAGCCAGGATAAGGCCTTTGGGTGCAACGGGTCCTAATGGGGTTAACTTAGTTGTCAGGGGTTGACTACAGGAAGGGGTGATGTGAGAGAGCCCCCGCATGGTTCCACTTCATTTTTATTGACGACATTCGCTAGTTTTCTAGTAAGCCAAGGATACCGTCCGGATGGGCGTCGACTGACAAATATCCCTGCCGGCCCTTCATTTAATAATGGATTCGGCTATATTTTCTGGTGAGTTTAATGAACACATTGGAACGGTGTTTAACAGCGGATTTTGGACAGCGATTCTGTGTTCTATTGGGTGGAAACCATATTTGAATAGTGCAGCTTAGTTATTCTAGATGCAGACAATCCATTCCATTTGAATGACAGGATGGTGGCTGTCTTACCGTTAGGGCACACCCGCACTGATGGTCCATCTTTACGCTTACGTGGGATGAAATATTATAGCCCGTTTTTGGCAGGGTTTGGGAAGCAAGTGTTACGCTTTCTTGTG